AATGTTGGGATAGGTCAGTTTTGTTTTGAAACCCTAATTATAGAAAAAACATAAGTTCATTTTATGACGAACAGGAAGTATTTGCAGACTAGCAAATTTCTCTTACAGATATAAATAGTGATGTTGGTTTCTATTTGAACCTAAAGAATTATACAGATGTCCCACCTAAGTTACCATAGCCGAATTATGATTGACTTTTTCAAAAAATTTTTCAGATAAAAGTTGAATCGAATCATATTGTACATATTTTAAAATTAGTTTCAGTAATGGCGGACTTCCGCTTCTACCGGAAATGGATATTAACTTTGTTATTTTAAATGGAACATCCTGTATATTATTGCATTTTTGGATTCCTTGTAAAATTTCAATGGTACTTTGTTAAGGATACCTTAGGTCTAACTGGTATCGTTTTTTAATTATGTGACGATTTTCGAAAAAAATGACATTTGCAGGGTCTTATAAATTTGGTAATATTGTCGAAACTGTGAAAGCTAGAAAGATTTGGTTTTCTGTTTTGAATTAACATAAAAGAGCACACGTTGCTAATAGAAAATTATTCATTTATATTAAGGAGTTCTTAAGTAGGAATTTGTAATTTTCGAACTTTTTAATCATTCATTTTTTTAAATGGAACAATATACCAGGTTTTGCATAACTGGATGTAAAATTTAATTTCCTTTCAGTTTTATACAGGTATCATGGTGTCTATCTTCAACGGTTTTGGAGATATTCCCGATTTTTCAGTTTATTACGATAGATATGTATTGCGAAGTAGGCTTAGGACTGATAAAATGGAAGGTGGTCGACGCTTTGTAAACGTCACAGAAGTGGGGGGAGCTTATACTGACTCCAAACAATTTCGTTGCTAAGATAAATCGCCAAAAAATGTCATTTGAAATGTCATCACTTAGTTTATTTTATTTTAACACTGATGGAAAATTGCATATGGTGATTTACACAGTTAGCAACCAAAATGTTTGGAGTCAGTATAAGCTCCTCCCATTTCTGTGACGTCAAGGCTTAGGTCGTCTAGTATTAGTCCAATATAGTATTAAAAGTTGAAGTAGGCTTGGAAAACAAACTAGGTAAACTGTCATTAGTGTTCCACGCATTAGAACTGTCATTAGTGTTTCACGCATTAAAACTGGTTTTCAAAGTATCAAAAAGATTTTAAAGAAGGATTTCAAAGAATCCAAAAATGCAATAATATACAGGATGTTCCATTTAAAATAACAAAGTTGATATCCATTTCCGGTAGAAGCGGAAGTCCGCGATTACTGAAACTAATTTTAAAATATGTACAATATGATTCGATTCAACTTTTATTTGAAACATCTTTTGAAAAACTCTGTATAAATGTATAAATAAGGTACCTGTCCCAAATAAGGCCACAATTTTTGTTGATCAAAATACAAACCTAAATTTTTATTTCTAAATGATGAGGGAAAAGGCATATATTCGTCACTTTCTGGCATTTGAAAAAAATGCTTTGTTGTTGAATAATCATCATTGTATTTAAATATTGTATTTTGTTTAATTACTAATTATATTCAAATTTTTAAGGTTCACGTAGAAGATGAACCGGAATGCTATTATTATTATTATTATTGCTGCCGGGCTGAGGAGTGCGGCCCCTCTCGTTACCGCGACCTATAAGATCTATTGTAACTTTAGCCCTCCAAAGGTTTAGGGCAAATGTAGGTCCTTAATGAACCTTAGTATTGTCCTGAGGTCTTGAACCTTTATGTCGGTAGGTAACAGGGGAGTTTTACCGAAGACATTGTGCCTTAGACGGCCTCTGGCGACGCAATTGCACAGTATATGTTCAGCAGTTTCTGACTCGTCGTTGCATAGTCGACAAGTTTGATCCTCAGCTTGTCCAATGTAGAAGAGGTGGTATTTTAGGGGCACATGGCCGGTCAGGTAGCCTGAGAGCGTTCTTAGATGCCCTTTGCTGAGGCATAAAACCTAATTGGTTTTGTTTTGCGACGGAGTTATCATACTCTTCGCTTGTCTGTGACCTGGAAGTTCTTTCCAGCGTAAGGCTATCTTTGAAGCCTCCCAGTTGTTGATTATTTGTTTTAGGTGGCCTTTTTGTAGTCCACATCCAGGTTGGGGTCCAATGAAGGGCGTGTTTGCTGCCTCTTTGGCCAGCTTGTCGGCCTTCTCATTGCTCTCAATGTTGCTGTGACCTGGAACCCACCATAGGGTAACATCATTGCCCCTAGCGAGTTCTCTCAGGTTGTTGGTACACTCTCTGATCAGTGCGGAGCCACACGTGTAGGCCTGAATTGCCTTTAAGGCGGCCCGACTGTCTGTGAAAATGTTTATGGATGCACCTTTTTGTCCCTTCTGTAGGTTCAAAGAGGTGCAGAAGTTTATAGCAAGAACTTCTGCTTGGAAAATTGTTAAGTCCGAGCTGAGGGGCAATTTGATGTGGCTATTTGGTCCACTGATGCCCATGCCTACTCCAGATCTTACTGTCTTTGAAGCATCGGTGTACCAGGCTAGGGTTCCTCTTTTTAGTTGAGGCCCTCCCTTCGCCCAATCATCCCTGCTACTAAATATGACCTTATACGGTTGGTTGAAATTGTATTCCGTCGGTATGAGGTCCGTTTTAATTTCAATCAGGTGATTTAGACATGGGTCCTTGAGGATCTCGAGGTGTCCTCTGAGGTTACCCTGCATCAACTTGAGTGAAGAAACTGTTTTCAGTGATAAGGCACTTAAGGATGCCTCCTTTTGTATATATATGTGGAGCGGTGTGAGACCGAGTAGGGCTTCCAAAGCAGTCGTCGGACAGGATCTCATTGCACCCGTTATGTTAAGACATGCCAACCGCTGGATTTGTGCCAGCTGTTGTTGAGCTGTCTTATGTTTTGTTTTTGGCCACCAAACCAATGAGGCGTAGGCGACCATGGGTCTGATTATTGCTACGTAGGCCCAATGAGCCATTCGTGGTTTGAGACCCCAGTTCCTTCCTAGGAGCCTGCGGCAGATCTGGTTTGCCATGATGGCCTTTTTCCTCACCTTATTTAAGTGTGAGTTCCAGTTTAGTTTACTGTCAAGTATTACCCCTAGGTATTTAGTTTCTGTTTTGAGGTTAATAGTTCTGCTTTCAATGGAGGGTGCTTTTATTTGTAGCTTCCTTCTCCGAGTGAATGCTGAGCCCATTGCTTCTGCATCAAGTACTGGTGAGTAGTAGGCTTTCTGCATTAGCTGAGTTATGATTGAATCATCATAACTGAATGCTAGGTACAATTTAAATGTATTCCCAAGTAAATGCAACCGCTGTAATGAATCCTATAATGTCCAAAGCGAAGCAACTCGCGACGTAACCTTCCCTAAGACGAGAGATGGACAAACAATCGATTTGTAAATCTCAATAATCTTCAACCGATTTTTGAATTTATTTCATTTCCTTTTGGAGAATTAGATAACGAGAATATTTCATCAAATCTAACTCATACTTTTCAATTAAATTCATTGGCTCTACAGTTAGAAATTTTAACAATACAATCAGATATAATTGTAAAAGCAAGTGAAAATGAAAATTATTTCTGGAATTTATTACCAGAAGGAAAATATCCATTATTGAGATCGGTGGAATGAGGATATTTGCATTTTTTGGTTCCACTTATCTATGTGAAGAAGCGTTTTCTCAAATGAAAAACATCAAATCGCAATTTAGGACTTCTGATTGATGCGATTACAAACCTAACCTTACAAGACTTGTTGATGAAATGGAATGTCATCTACATCAAAAAATTAATCCAAAATATTTATCAATAAAGTACATTGCACAAAATAGTAAATACAATGTATTTAATATATTATTATCAAGAAAGACCTTAATTAAATTTTTATTTGTTTTTAATTTAACCCATTTTTCGAAGTCGATCGCGCATAAATAAGAAAAATTAATGTCGATCATACCAGTATTAAGTTTGCTCATCCCTCTAATTACCTATAAGGACACTGCATTTGTTGATCAAAGAACTATCGTTCTATTCCAAACAGAAATAAAAGTTAACATGATCTGTAAGAATAAAAGATAATACAGTGAAATTCCTCTCACTCAAACTTCTATATCCCGAATTATCCTATTACTCAAGATAGGCGTGAATATTACAAATTTACAACAGACTATATTTTACTAATATAGTGAAATTCCCCTAAAATTATTCGACTTAGACGACTCTCTAAGTCGAATAATTTTCGAAAGCTCAAGGGTTTGACTAGGTTTCAAATGTGTTTATCTCTCTAAGTCGAATTTCCCTAACCCGAATTTCTCTGTAACTTTTACTTCTATAAGTCGAATTTACCAAAGAATAAAATATTCGAATCCGTTCTGTAAGTAATTTTAACTACAGAATCAAACCACATAGACTCAGGCTCAGAAACTACAGACTCTTGAACTAAAACAAACCTAATGTTCAGAATCAGATGAAGGTGATGATAATCTTGAAAATAAAGTATTTATCACTGTGCCTACATATGATGAAGCTTATTCCTTTCTTAAAATTCATAATTCTCTACATTTCATAGAAGATTTTTTCGACAAAGAGCGGTTGTCCGCTTTAAGCCAAAAGAAAATTACGGATTATTTTTAAAAAACTTATTAGTTTTCTGCTTACAAGTAGTATTAAGATTTCTATTTTAAATATACGTATTAGAAAAGTACATTTCTAATTTTTTTCTTTAGAGCTGAAATTCTACTAAATTCTCTAACTCAAATTCTCCATAACTCGAAGTTTTCTTCTGCTTCCTTAGTGATTCGAGTTAGGGGAATTTCACTGTATTAGTAAAATAAAATCTGTTGTAAATTTGTAATATACACACCTATATTGAGTAATAGCCCTATGAGATTTAAATGAAACAGACTCAAAATGCCTTACTTTGTAAAACACAACCCAATCTTATCATTATAACTAACACAAAATTTTAAATATTTCACAAAAAAATGCGTTAAAATATTAATAAACTAATTTGATAATTACGTTTACAGTAAATGGAATTTTTTGCAACAATGCTAAACATTTAATTAAAATCCCCATAAAATGCGTTGGGTTATTCTCTTGATTTAAAGCATAAATATCTTCTTCGATATTCTCAATATTTGGACATTTTTCATCTCTAAACAATATAAAATATTTTATTTCATCCTAATAATAATATTAATAAAAGCGTACTTATTCATCTCACCAAATAACCTTCTGGTTATATTTCTTTTAGAAGAAGCCCTAAATTTATTGCTTCTCCTAAAAGGAGTAGAATAAAATCCTTCCCTTCCTGAATTTTGTCTACTCAATGTAAAAACATGTTGAGATGTTTTAAAATAAATCTGTTGTTTTAATTCGTTTAATAAAGTTTCGTGAAGTTCCTCTTTTTTCTGCTCAATTTCCATACAAAGCTCTTTAATCTCGGCAATATCTTCTAAACCTTCTTTATCAGATGAGATCGCTTCGATTAATAAATTTGTTGCGTGTAAATATTCTTTCTTATTTAAATGTGTTTGCACTTTAACTGGAACTTCTCTTAATTTCTCTCTAAATAAACATTTGTTATTAATAAAAGCTACTTATTTTTTTATAAAAACTTACATTTCATCTAAATATTGCAATAAATATTTATATTCTAATCCTTTCATCCACAATTTCTCCAATTCATTTCTTTTCGCATACAAATTATTTTTGCACTCTCTCAAAGCTTCCTTAATCCTTCGTATTTTCCCTCGTGATTCACTCATCTCATGCGATAAGTTACTAAAAGTACTCATCACCTCAGATAAATCCTCTTCATGTTTTTGCACTAAATCATCAACACGTTTATCACATTGTTTATAATCGGCGTCCAATTTTGCTTTTTCTCGGTCTCGTTGTTCATTAGTTTCAGTAGCTGATAAAGTTCTTATAACCGACATTAACAGACCACTCTAAAGAGAAAATGACACAAATAATGTTTATAAAGATATTTTAATAATTACTTACAGTTTCTTTGGTTGGTTTTACACCTCTCGGTGGTTTTATTGGGGGCGAATCCATCATTATTATTAATTTAAACTAAATGTTTATTAATTGTTGATGTGACAACAAGGAGGTTATATCAAATACACAAACATAACCTCAATGACAACCTAAAATGTCAAAAAGTTATATTAAAATAAATTATTATTCTAATAATATCAATCTTTTTAATCTTATTATGTCATACTTATGTTTATTATGTATTTTGAAGTATTATATAAATTAAAATGTAGTTATAAAATATTTAATACCTAAAATTAAGTTCGTTGGACGTGGCGCCATCTATTGAGAATAAATTTTATTACATTAATTAAAATAAAATTAATTTGTTAATAATAAATTAAAATGCTTCAAACGCTTCGTTGGCATTGCGATCATAAGTATTATTAATAGCTTCTTTAATTCTTTCTTTCGATGCGGGAAACCATTTCAATATCCATCATTATTATTATTAAACTAAATGTTTATTAACATAACCTCAATGACAACCTAAAATGTCAAAAAGTTATATTAAAATAAATTATTACAATAAATATTTTAATAATATCAATGTTTTTAATCTTATTATGTCATAATAATTATATTTATTATGTATTTTGAATTATTATATAAATTAAAATGTAGTTATAAAATATTTAATACCTAAAATTAAATTCGTTGGACGTGGCGCCATCTATTGAGAATAAATTTTATTACATTAATTAAAATAAAATTAATTTGTTAATAATAAATTAAAATGCTTCAAACGCTTCGTTGGCATTGCGATCATAAGTATTATTAATAGCCTCTTCAATTCTTTCTTTCGATGCGGGAAACCATTTCAATATCCATCATTATTATTATTAAACTAAATGTTTATTAACATAACCTCAATGACAACCTCAAGTGTCAAAAAATTATATTAAAATCTTTGATTAAAATAAATATTTTAATAATATTAATGTTTTTAATCTTATTATGTCATAATAATTATATTTATTATGTATTTTGAATTATTATATAAATTAAAATGTAGTTATAAAATATTTAATATATAAAATTAAATTCGTTGGACGTGGTGCCATCTATTGAGAATAAATTTTATTACATTATTTAAAATAAAATAAATTTGTTAATAATAAATTAAAATGCTCCAAACGCTTCGTTGGCATTGCGATGATAAGTATTATTAATAGCCTCTTCGATTCTTTCTTTCGATGCGGGAAACCATTTCAATAGATGAATCCATTTTTCTTTTTTCAGTCTTAATATTTGGCAATGAAATCGTGCTTTGTACGATCGTACATGAGGAATGCCATAAATCCCTTGTAATTCACCAAAAGATGCGTTAGGTCCTAATATGGTTTGTTCGATCTCATTATTTCCATGTTTATCATAAACGAAGATTTCCCCCGCTCTTAGGAAATACATGCAAGCATCTATGTCATCTTTTTCTACAATATACATCCCGGGTAAGAACTCATATGGTTCCACACAAGTCACTAATTGTCTTTGAAAGTCTTTATGGGTCTTTTTAAACAAACAATGATCCGATATAACTCTCCCGTATAATTCGGCCATGATTTTTTGTTTTAAATGATTTGGGCAATCGTTAATTAATTGTGGTAACCAAGAACCATAAGATCTTACCCATAATTCGGTGAAGTAGCCCCATACTTTGGTAGTTAATGAACGAGAAACATTCGTCATTCTCATGTATTGTAAAATATGTTTTGCCATCCTTTCATACTCGCTCATCATAAATTTATGCAAAACTATCATGTTTGCAAAAGCAATCGTTAAAAAGAGGGTGATAAATTGTCCGACGATGATAATAACAATCATAGCGTATAATTCCTTTGCAGTATTAGGTGACATGTCATTAAATCCGGTTGATGTGAACATGTTTACAACGTGTTGGAAAGATAAAAGATATCCAAATTCCGGTTGGGTCACATAAAGCTGCTGAAACCCTTCTTGATTATTACCATAATTTAAAACGCACCCATCATTGGAGCATGCAACTAACCACCAAAAACAAGTGCTGAAGTGTATTATTATAAGTAAGATGTACATTAAGTTAAAACAACGTTGTACTCTGGTAATCGTAAGCCGTTTCCTCCCTGTATTGTAATATAAAAACATAAAAACGCATCTAAAACTTCTGTTGATAAAAAAAACCCGGAACCAATCCCGGTTTTGAAAATAAATGAAAATTAGTTCAAACGGAAAAGACGTAAAAACATCCAACCAAAAACCAGTTACGGACTTTAAGTACCTTTTCGCAATATAAGTATGGTTTGTTATTAAAATACCAGTTTCTTTTTCGTAATATGATAAATGAAAATTAATAAATATTTTAATCCAGTATATAATATCAACGAAGTAAAGGATTTCGTAGAAAATACGTTTCGAATCAAACAGCGTCACTCGAATGATGACCAAAGATATTAATATTGATGACCAAACGGATAGGTGAACGTCAACAATATGATTAAAAATGTGGTACCAAGTAGCATTCATTTGAATTATTAGTCTTGATTTTCCTTTCTTCGCTAAATAAATTGATTCTTTTAGAACACTTTCCCTATGTTTATATCGCTGCACTGTCGACCGATATCCAAGTGATGACTTTGCGGGTAAAAATTCGTAACGGAGAATTTCAAATTTTTTCATTCTTGCTGAATATTTTGGATCCAAATCTAATAAACTAGTGAATCTGTAAAAAAAATTGAAATGTTAGTCTATGTTAGGGACTGTTATATATATTCTAGTGATGGAACCGATATCATCCGGCATATCTATCCGGCCATTATGGTTACAATTTCTGGTGCATTTCTGAAATGATACCCTACATTGCCACAATATAAGTACAAAGAGGATACTTTAATTAATAATTAATTGGCGATATTAGATTTATTAAAACTTTAAATATTGTTTTCTCAAAAACAAAATTTTTTTTTTAAAACCGTTTGGTTCATTGGAAAAAGGACACTTTTATTAACATTTTGGGAAATTTTCATATTCACATTCCAAAAAATCGATTTTATACGATTTTTTAAAACTTAATCGGCGAAATTTGCAAAATTCGAAAAAATTTTCGATAATTTCAAAAATTTATTTCTCTAAAACTAAAAGCGATTTTTCAAAACGGCTTGTTGCATTAAAAAGAGGATACTTTAATTAATAATTGGTGATATTTCCACAAGGATCCTTCAAGAAATTAATTTTATAGCGAATTTTGAAACTTATCGATGAAAATTGCAACATCGAAAATTTTATCAAAACTTCAAATATTGTTTTCTCAAAAACTAAAAGTTATTTTTCAAAACGGGTTGGTTCATTGGAAAGAGGACACTTTTATTAACACTTTGGGAAATTTTCATACTCATATTCCAAGAAATGGATTTTATACGAATTTTTAAAACTTAATCGGCGAAAATTGCAAAATTCGAAAAAATTGTCGATCATTTCAAAAATTTATTTCTCAAAAACTAAAAGCGATTTTTCAAAACGGCTTGTTGCATTAAAAAGAGGATACTTTAATTAATAATTGGTGATATTTCCACAAGGATCCTTCAAGAAATTAATTTTATAGCGAATTTTGAAAATTATCGATGAAAATTGCAACATCGAAAATTTTATCAAAACTTCAAATATTGTTTTCTCAAAAACTAAAAGTTATTTTTCAAAACGGGTTGGTTCATTGGAAAGAGGACACTTTTATTAACACTTTGGGAAATTTTCATACTCATATTCCAAGAAATGGATTTTATACGAATTTTTAAAACTTAATCGGCGAAAATTGCAAAATTCGAAAAAATTGTCGATCATTTCAAAAATTTATTTCTCAAGAACTAAAAGTGATTTTTCAAAACGGCTTTTTGCATTAAAAAGAGGATACTTTAATTAATAATTGGTGATATTTCCACAAGGATCCTTCAAGAAATTAATTTTATAGCGAATTTTGAAAATTATCGATGAAAATTGCAACATCGAAAATTTTATCAAAACTTCAAATATTGTTTTCTCAAAAACTAAAAGTTATTTTTCAAAACGGGTTGGTTCATTGGAAAGAGGACACTTTTATTAACACTTTGGGAAATTTTCATACTCATATTCCAAGAAATGGATTTTATACGAATTTTTAAAACTTAATCGGCGAAAATTGCAAAATTCGAAAAAATTGTCGATCATTTCAAAAATTTATTTCTCAAGAACTAAAAGTGATTTTTCAAAACGGCTTGTTGCATTAAAAAGAGGATACTTTAATTAATAATTGGTGATATTTTCAAAAGGATCCTTTAAAAAATAAATTGTATAGCGAATTTTGAATGTTATCAATCGAAATCGCAACATCGAAAATTTTATCAAAACTTCAAATATTGTTTTTTCAAAAACTAAAAGTTATTTTTCAAAACGGGTTGGTTTATTGGAAAGAGGACACCTTTATTAACACTTTGGGAAATTTTCATACTCATATTCCAAGAAATGGATTTTATACGAATTTTTAAAACTTAATCGGCGAAAATTGCAAAATTCGAAAAAATTGTCGATTATTTCAAAAATTTATTTCTCAAGAACTAAAAGTGATTTTTCAAAACGGCTTTTTGCATTAAAAAGAGGATACTTTAATTAATAATTGGTGATATTTCCACAAGGATCCTTCAAGAAATTAATTTTATAGCGAATTTTGAAAATTATCGATGAAAATTGCAACATCGAAAATTTTATCAAAACTTCAAATATTGTTTTCTCAAAAACTAAAAGTTATTTTTCAAAACGTGTTGGTTCATTGAAAAGAGGACACTTTTATTAACACTTTGGGACATTTTCATACTTATATTCCAAGAAATGGATTTTATACGAATTTTTAAAACTTAATTGGCGAAAATTGCAAAATTCGAAAAAATAGTCGATTATTTCAAAAATTTATATCTCAAAAACTGATAGTGATTTTTCAAAACGGCTTGTTACATTACAAAGAGGACACTATAATTAATAATTGGTGATATTTTCACAAGGATCCTTCTGAAAATAAATTTTATAGCGAATTTTGAATGTTATCAATCGAAATTGCAACATCGAAAATTTTATCAAAACTTCAAATATTGTTTTCTCAAAAACTAAAAGTTATTTTTCAAAACGGGTTAGTTCATTGGAAAGAGGACACTTTTATCAACACTTTGGGAAATTTTCATACTCATATTCCAAGGAATGGATTTTATATGAATTTATAAAACTTAATCAGCGAAAATTGCAAAATTCGAAAAAATTGTCGATCATTTCAAAAATTTATTTCTCAAAAACAAGAAGCGATTTTTCAAAACGGCTTGTTGCATTAAAAAGAGGATACTTTAATTAATAATTGGTGATATTTTCACAAGGATCCTTCAAAAAATAAATTTTATAGCGAATTTTGAATGTTATCAATCGAAAATTTTATCAAAACTTCAAATATTGTTTTCTCAAAAACGAAAAATTATTTTTCAAAACGGGTTGGTTCATTGGAAAGAGGACACTTTTATCAACACTTTGGGACATTTTCATACCGAATTCCAAGAAATGGATTTTATACGAATTTTTAAATCTTAATCGGCGAAAATTGCAAAATTTGAAAAAATTTACGATTACTTCAATAATTTATTTCTCAAGAACTAAAAGTGATTTTTCAAAACGGCTTGTTGCATTAAAAAGAGGATACTTTAATTAATAATTGGTGATATTTTCAAAAGGATCCTTTAAAAAATAAATTTTATAGCGAATTTTGAATGTTATCAATCGAAATCGCAACATCGAAAATTTTATCAAAACTTCAAATATTGTTTTCTCAAAAACTAAAAGTTATTTTTCAAACCGGTTGGGTTCATTGGAAAGGGGACACCTTTATTAACACTTTGGGAAAATTTCATACTCATATTCTAAGAAATGGATTTTATACAAATTTTTAAAACTTAATCGGCGAAAATTGCAAAATTCGAAAACATTGTCGATCATTTCAAAAATTAATTTCTCAAAAATTAAGAGCGATTTTTCAAAGCGGCTTGTTGCATTAAAAAGAGGATACTTTAATTACTAATTGATGATATTTCCACAAGGATCCTTCAAGAAATGAATTTTATAGCGAATTTTGAAAGTTATCGATGAAAATTGCAGCATCGAAAATTTTATCAAAACNATTAATAATCAAAAGTGATAACAGCGGCAGTTCTGTTAGTAATGAATTGTAAGCGAAGAGAAGAAAGCTAGACGAAACTGCAACAAGATATTTTATATATCGTATTGGGATTGTTACAATGAGGTTTGCTAATAATAAACCTGATATAAATAAAATTGTATCAAACGAAAAAAGTCCTATTGGGGTTGAACTTGATTATTATCTGCAGCGTCCAACACCTAAAAGTGTGAATTCCTAAAGTTCCTAAAAGTGTGGGTGGAGAACTATGTAATAGGTTTTTAATATCCGGATACCGGATAATTGCCGGATATCCGTTCCACCACTAATATATTCCAAAATATAGATCCAAATATAGATAGTAAATGAAAATTACTTACCTATCTGATTGTATACCTAACAGAGTAGTATGAACATCTGTAGTAACAGTAATAGTCTGTCTAGTTGATCCATGTGGTAACAAACATCCAAAAACACCACCTGGACTTAAAATTGTCATCGTGTAATCAGCAATTTCCACATTAACCTGTCCTTTACAAACAATATAAAGAATATCGTTGATATCATTGTTACAAATAATGACAGAATCTTTTTTGTAATGAAATTCCTGGCAATGACGCGCTGTCATTCTAAGCAAACCTTGCGAAGCATCGTGGAAAATATCAGTCATCCTCAAGTACTTTTCGTACATAAATTGATAAAAATCGCTTCTTAAAACGGGATGTTTTTTCAAGATGATCACTGAAATATCGAAACCTTTCTTCATTTCCCATTGGTATTCATAATGACCAATGGCTTCTTGAATTAATTTATTGCTAATTCGATGGTATTTACAGAAACTCAAAAAAATGTTCATGTTGTGTTGATATTGAACTAAATTTTTATTCCCCCCAATCTAAAATAATATATCATATACAAGTGCTTGAGTTCAATAAGTTTACTTACCCAAATACTTGTTATTCGAGCCAAAACAAACCATTTCACTGCGAATAAAATCAAACTAAACCCGCACACCATCCACATGTATCTATCACTTAAAAAGCGATATGTCGCTGTTGATGTAGAACTAAATAAAGCGAAAGCGACGAAAAATGATACTAAAGTTGGAGTTTTTGCGTTGTATGCTTCGTTGTAATAAGAGTTAACAATCCAAGAATTATTAGGACAAGTAAATTGGTCGTTCAGATCCGAATCCGAACAAGTAAATCCTTCCAAAGCTAAAGCAGCCATTCCAATCACCAACAAAACAATCAACAAATATTTGCAATTTTCGTAAAAAAGGATTTTCCCCTGTTTAGCTTGCGCTTGTAAATAAGAAAATCCTCTCATCACTTTGTATAAAAGAAATGGTCTCGTGATCAACGTCATAATCAACAATGTATTCATACTCCTCGATTTTCCAAAGATTGTATTAACCTGTAGCGTATAAATCGGAAATAACCCAAACATATCCACAGAAAACGATGAAGTAAAATAATGTAGAGCTGTGTATAGCGGGTGGGTCACCAAAATTCCGATATCATTGTAATAACGAACATGCATTCTTATGTAAGTATCCACCAAAATATAAACGACAAAAACTAACTCGATATAACCATAAATGTGATGAATAAAACTTAGTTTTAATAAAGTTAGCGCATAAGCGACTTGAATAACAGCAACAACACATCGAAAAATTTCCCATCGCAAATAAAATGTAGACGTGGGTTCGAATGTTTTCCGTAAAAAAACGTGCCGAATAAATTTCCACCTTCCAATCACATTAAAAGTGTTATTAAATTCATTAATATCTTTTTCGGTCACATCTACATCATCGACACATTTGTACTCGAAAAACTCTCCTCTTCCTTGCGATCGCAAAGTGGGAACCATATCGGGTAAACGTCCTTTTCGTCGCGAAAGAACGGTTTCATTATCTTCAAAATGTTTGGTTAGAATGTTCGTAAGTTGATGGTAATTATCACAATAATGCTCTAAAATTCGCAACAAAGGTTTGCGCTTTATTTTAATCACTTCCAAATACGTAACCGACGCAACGTGAAGAAAAGTATCAATACCCATTAAAACCTCTAAAATCGGAAAACAAGCACCTCTAGTTACAGTGGTGCTTATTTCGTGGTATTTATCAGTTGGAATCGACGATTCTATTTTACAGTAACCGTTTAAAATGACGTGTAAAAACGTCGGTTTAGAATTTACGCGACACACGATCATATTTGGGGGGCAAATTTCAATACTTGATATTCCAGCAAGTTCTAGTAAAGTTCTATCGTTGCAACGACGAAATAATGGTACTAATTTCAAACAGTTTACGATTCTATTAGTTACTATTGTTGCTTTCAAGCTTGGTGGGAGGTGTTTTATCACGCTTTGTTGCCCGGTTACTTCGTAACCGTTACTATACATCCAATGACAATGTGTTGCTCTGAACATTGTTCTCGCTAATTCTTCAGGAAGATTGTTACGTTGGGCGAAAAATTTTAATGAATTTATTCGATCCTAAAAAATAAATATAGTTTCATTTAATTATTAATCATAAATCGTTTATAACTAAACATAATAAGCAATGAAATGTTGGTGGTTATATTTTAGTAGATAGCTTTCATAAAACGCATTAAAAAATTTAGACAGTTAAGACGAAATTCTGGAAAAACCTAGAAATCTAAACTAAAGAAGCTGTTGCTAGAAAAAAAGAGTTCCCCTTCAGTGTTATGAAACCAAATCGGACGAGTTGTAATAAAAAATTTAATGATTAAGGCAGACTGAAAATGAAAGAAAGAGAGAATTAAACAGAGAAGAGGAAGATTAAAAAGAAATTGGAGAAAATCTGAACAGAAAGAAATCGAATTGAAGTAGGGATAGAAAGACAAAGTAGACATCAGGAGATTGAAAATAGAAGATAAAGACAGAAAATGCATAAATAGAGACATAGGAACTGGAAAAGCAAAAAAGGACCTAAATAGAGGCTGAAGAAATACTGTTAATACTCGTACGAGATCGAATAAAGACTGGAAAAGAAGAGAAAGATTGGAAGAAGAGTAAAGGAGTGGAAAGAGAAGAGAGACACTGAGTAGCGAGTAGGAAGACTGAAAAAAGACTGTAAAAGCAAAAGTAGGTCCAGGTAGAGGAGAAAAAGCCTAGAGAGATGCTGGTAATAGATGAAAAAGCTTGAAACTGAAAACAGACTGTCAAAGCAAATGATGAATGAAAGACATTGAGGAACGAAGAAGGAGACTGAAAAAGACTATTAAAGCAAAAATAGGCCCAGGTAGAGGAGAACAAATCTTGCAAGGAGTTGGTAATGCATGAAATAACTTCAAAAGACAATGAGCAGCGAATTGAGAGCCTGAAAAGAGACTGTAAAAGCAAAAGTAGGTCCAGATAGAGGAGAAGAAGCCTGGAGAGATGCTGCTAATAGATGAAAAAGCTTCAAGAAATACTGAAAGAACAAGACAGACACTGAGCAGCGAGCAGGGAGACTGAAAACAGACTGTTAAAGCAAATAATGAATGAAAGACATTGAAGAGCGAAGAAGGGGACTGAAAAAGACTATTAAAGCAAAAATAGGCTCAGGTAGAGGAGAGCAAATCTTGCAAAGAGTTGGCAATGCATGAAAAAGCTTCAAAAGATACTGAGCAGCGAGTTGGGAGCCTGAAAAGAGACTGTAAAAACAAAAGTAAGTCCAGGTAGAGGAGAAGAAGCCTGTGGAGATGCTGGTAATAGATAGAAAGCTTCAAGAAATATTGAGAGAAGAAGACAGATACTGAGCAGCGAGTAGGGAGACTGAAAACATACTGTTAAAGCAAATAATGAATTTAAGACATTGAGGAGCGAAGAAGGAGACTGAAAAAGACAATTAAAGCAAAAATAGGCCTAGGTGGAGGACAACAAATCTTGCAAAGAGTTGGTAATGCATAAAATAACTTAAAAAAATACTGAGTAGCGAATTGGGAGCCTGAAAAGAGACTGTAAAATCAAACGTAGGTCCAGGTAGAGGAGAAGAAGCCTGGAGAGAGGCTAGTCATAGATGAAAAAGCTTCAAGAAATTCTGAAAGAACAAGACAGACACTGAGCAGCGAGCAGGGATACTGAAAACAAACTGTTAAAACAAATAATGAATGAAAGACATTGAAGAGCGAAGAAGGGGACTGAAAAAGACTATTAAAGCAAAAATAGGCTCAGGTAGAGGAGAGAAAATCTTGCAAAGAGTTGGCAATGCATGAAAAAGCTTCAAAAGATACTAAGCAGCGAGTTGGGAGCCTGAAAAGAGACTGTAAAAACATAAGTAAGTCCAAGTAGAGGAGAAGAAGCCTGTGGAGATGCTGGTAATAGATAAAAAGCTTCAAGAAATACTGAGAGAACAAGACAGATACTGAGCAGCGAGCAGGGAGACTGAAAACATACTGTCAAAGCAAATAATGAATGTAAGACATTGAGGAGCGAAGAAGGAGACTGAAAAAGACAATTAAAGCAAAAATAGGCCCAGGTAGAGGAGAACAAATCTTGCAAGGAGTTGGTAATGCATGAAATAACTTCAAAAGACACTGAGCAGCGAATTGAGAGCCTGAAAAGAGACTGTAAAAGCAAAAGTAGGTCCAGGTAGAAGAGAAGAAGCCTGGAGAGATGTTGGTAATAGATGAAAAAGCTTCAAGAAATACTGAAAGAACAAGACAGACACTGAGCAGCGAGCAGGGAGACTGAAAGCAGATTGTCAAAGAAAATAATGAATGAAAGACATTGAGGAGCGAAGAAGGGGACTGAAAAAGACTATTGAAGCAAAAGTAGGCTCAGGTAGAGGAGAGCAAATCTTGCAAAGAGTTGGCAATGCATGAAAAAGCTTCAAAAGACACTGAGCAGCGAGTTGGGAGCCTGAAAACAGACTGTAAAAACAAAAGTAAGTCCAGGTAGAGGAGAAGAAGCCTGTGGAGATGCTGGTAATAGATAAAAAGCTTCAATAAATACTGAGAGAACAAGACAGATACTGAGCAGCGAGCAGGGAGACTGAAAACATACTGTCAATGCAAATAATGAATGTAAGACATTGAGGAGCGGAGAAGGAGACTGAAAAAGACGATTAAAGCAAAAATAGTCCCAGGTAGAGGAGAACAAATCTTGCAAAGAGTTGGTAATACATGAAATAACTTCAAAAGATACTGAACAGCGAATTGGAAGCCTGAAAGGAGACTGTAAAAGCAAAAGTAGGTCCAGGTAGAGGAGAAAAAGCCTGGAGATATGTTGATAATAGATGAAAAAGCTTCAAGAAATACTGAAAGAACAAGACAGACACTGAGCAGCGAGCAGGAAGACTGAAAGCAGACTGTCACAGAAAATAATGAATGAAAGACATTGAGGAGCGAAGGAGGGGACTGAAAAAGACTATTAAAGCAAAAATAGGCCCAGGTAGAGGAGAACAAATCTTGCAAAGAGTTGGTAATGCATAAAATAACTTTAAAAAATACTGAGCAGCGAATTGGGAGCCTGAAAAGAGACTGTAAAAGCAAAAGTAGGTCCAGGTAGAGGAGAAAAAGCCTGGAGACATGCTGGTCATAGATGAAAAAGCTTCAAGAAATACTGAAAGAACAAGACAGACACTGAGTAGCGAGCAGGGAGACTGAAAACAGACTGTCAAAGCAAATAATGAATGAAAGACATCGAGCAGCGAAGTAGGAGACTGAAAAAGGGCTATTAAAGCAAAAATAGGCTCAGGTAGAAGAGAGCAAATCTTGCAAAAAGGTTGGTAATGCATGAAAAAGCTTCAAAAGATACTGAGCAGAGAATTGGGAGCCTGAAAAGAGACTGTAAAAGCAAAAGTAGGTCCACGTAGAGGAGAAGAAGCCTGGAGAGATGGTGGTAATAGATGAAAAAGCTTCAAGAAATACTGAGAGAACAAGACAGATACTGAGCAGCGGGCAGGAAGACTGAAAACAGACATTCAAAGCAAATAATGAATGAAAGACATTGAGGAGCGAAGAAGGGGACTGAAAAAGACTATTAAAGCAAAAATAGGCCCAGGTAGAGGAGAACAAATCTTGCAAAGAGTTGGCAATGCATGAAATAACTTCAAAAGATACTAAGCAGTAAATTGGGAGCCTGATAGGAGATTGTAAAAGCAAAAGTAGGTCCACGTAGAGGAGAAGAAGCCTGGAGAGATGCTGGTAATAGATGAAAAAGCTTTAAGAAATACTGAAAGAACAAGATAGACACTGAGCAGTGAGCAGGGAGACTGAAAACAGGCTGTTAAAGCAAATATTGAATGAAAGATATCGAGCAGCGAAGCAGGAGATTGAAAAAGGACTATTAAAGCAAAAATAGGCTCAGGTAGAGGAGAGCAAATCTTGCAGAAAGGTTGGTAATGCATGAAAAAGCTTCAAAAGATACTGAGCAGCGAATTGGGAGCCTGAAAAGAGACTGTAAATACAAAAGTAGGTCCAGGTAGAGGAGAAGAAGCCTGGAGAGATGCTGGTCATAGATGAAAAAGCTTCAAGAAATACTGAAAGAACAAGACAGACACTGAGCAGCGAGCAGGGAGACTGAAAATAGACTGTCAAAGCAACTAATGAATGAAAGACATTGAGCAGCGAAGAAGTTGACTGAAAAAGACTATTAAAGTAAGAATAGACTCAGGTAGAGGAGAACAAATCTTGCAAAGAGTTGGTAATGCATAAAATAACTTTAAAAAATACTGAGCAGCGAATTGGGAGCCTGAAAAGAGACTGTAAAAGCAAAAGTAGGTCCACGTAGAGGAGAAGAAGCCTGGAGAGATGGTGGTAATAGATGAAAAAGCTTCAAGAAATACTGAGAGAACAAGACAGATACTGAGCAGCGGGCAGGAAGACTGAAAACAGACATTCAAAGCAAATAATGAATGAAAGACATTGAGGAGCGAAGAAGGGGACTGAAAAAGACTATTAAAGCAAAAATAGGCTCAGGTAGAGGAGAGCAAATCTTGCAAAGAGTTGGCAATGCATGAAAAAGCTTCAAAAGATACTGAGCAGCGAGTTGGGAGCCTGAAAAGACACTGTAAAAACAAAAGTAAGTCCAGATAGAGGAGAAGAAGCCTGTGGAGATGCTGGTAATAGATAAAAAGCTTTAAAAAATACTGAGAGAACAAGACAGATACTGAGCAGCGAGCAGGGAGACTGAAAACATACTGTCAAAGCAAATAATGAATGTAAGACATTGAGGAGCGAAGAAGGAGACTGAAAAAGACAATTAAAGCAAAAATAGGCGCAGGTGGAGGACAACAAATCTTGCAAAGAGTTGGTAATGCATAAAATAATTTAAAAAAATACTGAGTAGCGAATTGGGAGCCTGAAAAGAGACTGTAAAAGCAAACGTAGGTCCAGGTAGAGGAGAAGAAGCCTGGAGAGAGGCTAGTCATATATGAAAAAGCTTCAAGAAATACTGAAAGAACAAGACAGACACTGAGCAGCGAGCAGGGAGACTGAAAACAGACTGTTAAAGCAAATAATGAATGAAAGACATCGAGTAGCGAAGCAGGAGACTGAAAAAGNAAGGTTGGTAATGCATGAAAAAGCTTCAAAAGATACTGAGCAGCGAATTGGGAGCCTGAAAAGAGACTGTAAATACAAAAGTAGGTCCAGGTAGAGGAGAAGAAGCCTGGAGAGATGCTGGTCATAGATGAAAAAGCTTCAAGAAATACTGAAAGAACAAGACAGACACTGAGCAGCGAGCAGGGAGACTGAAAATAGACTGTCAAAGCAACTAATGAATGAAAGACATTGAGCAGCGAAGAAGTTGACTGAAAAAGACTATTAAAGTAAGAATAGACTCAGGTAGAGGAGAACAAATCTTGCAAAGAGTTGGCAATGCATGAAATAACTTCAAAAGATACTGAGCAGCGAATTGGGAGCCTGAAAAGAGATTGTAAAAGCAAAAGTAGGTCCAGGTAGAGGAGAAGAAGCCTGGAAAGATGCTGGTAATAGATGAAAAATCTTCGAGAAATACTGAAAGAACAAGATAGACACTGAGCAGGGAGACTGAAAACAGGCTGTCAAAGCAAATAATGAATGAAAGACATCGAGCAGCGAAGCAGGAGACTGAAAAGGGACTATTAAAGCAAAAATAGGCTCAGGTAGAGGAGAGCAAATCTTGCAAAAAGGTTGGTAATGCATGAAAAAGCTTCAAAAGATACTGAGCAGCGAATTGGGAGCCTGAAAAGACACTGTAAAAACAAAAGTAAGTCCAGATAGAGGAGAAGAAGCCTGTGGAGATGCTGGTAATAGATAAAAAGCTTTAAAAAATACTGAGAGAACAAGACAGATACTGAGCAGCGAGCAGGGAGACTGAAAACATACTGTCAAAGCAAATAATGAATGTAAGACATTGAGGAGCGAAGAAGGAGACTGAAAAAGACAATTAAAGCAAAAATAGGCGCAGGTGGAGGACAACAAATCTTGCAAAGAGTTGGTAATGCATAAAATAATTTAAAAAAATACTGAGTAGCGAATTGGGAGCCTGAAAAGAGACTGTAAAAGCAAACGTAGGTCCAGGTAGAGGAGAAGAAGCCTGGAGAGAGGCTAGTCATATATGAAAAAGCTTCAAGAAATACTGAAAGAACAAGACAGACACTGAGCAGCGAGCAGGGAGACTGAAAACAGACTGTTAAAGCAAATAATGAATGAAAGACATCGAGTAGCGAAGCAGGAGACTGAAAAAGGATTATTAAAGCAAAAATAGGCTCAGGTAGAGGAGAGCAAATCTTGCAAAAAGGTTGGTAATGCATCAAAAAGCTTCAAAAGATACTGAGCAGCGAATTGGGAACCTGAAAAGAGATTGTAAAAGCAAAAGTAAGTCCAGGTACAGGAGAAGAAATCTGGGGAGATGCTGGTAATAGATGAAAAAGCTTCAAGAAATACTGAAAGAACAAGACAGACACTGAGCAGCGAGCAGGGAGACTGAAAACAAACTGTTAAAGCAACTAATGAACGAAAGACATCGAGCAGCGAAGTGGGGGATCGAAAAAGACTATTAAAGCAAAAATAGGCTGAGGTAGAGGAGAGTAAATCTTGCCAAGAGTTAGTAATGCATGAAAAGGCTTCAAAAGATACTGAGTAGCGAGTTGGGAGCCTGAAAAGAGACTGTAAAAGCAAAAGAAACACCAAGCAGGTAAGAAAAATATTATGCGACGAGAAGAGAGACTGAAAAGAGACTATAAAAGCTAAAATAGGTCTATATTGAGGAGATAGTGTCTGGAATGAGATTGTCTATGAATGAAAAAGGTTGAAGAGATACCGCAAGGATAGAAAGACACTAAGCCACGACAAGGGAGACTAGATAGAGACTGTAAAAGCCGTAGCAGGACGAAGCTACGGATCATTCGGCGAAGGTTGACGACAATCCAAGAAAGACCCAAGAATTAGAAGAATACATTATGAATTCCACATGATATGGTGTAAAAATCGAAACGCAGATAAAAGCTTTGCAAAAAAAAATCATCTCTTGAGTATTCTAATGTATTCGTTTTTTGCACAATGTGTTTGTGACAACCCTCTTTGTTTTTTTAAAAAACTCGTTAAAGTCTAAGAATTGAAGCCAAAGCGAATCAAAACAACCTTGATATGAATAACCTAAATGCCTATAAATTTAAAGTCGATCAATTAAGTTATCTAGTTGATAGTGTTCCCTTATAACACAGGGTGATTTTCAACCTGTACGCATAAACTTGGGGATCTATTCATCATAACAAATAATGTGTAATAGGAGAAGAAAATTGTAGCAAAGGTTTTTTTGTTTCCTATATATCCATGAAATTTACTTTTAAATCAAGAATACATATAAGATTTTAAAATGATATCAAAGTAAGTGTTCCAAGTGGTTTCCAATATTTTCTATACACAATTGGGCTCGATGAATCCATGACGTTTCACTAGCGAGGCCTAAACCAGGGTGTTGGCGGATTGTCTCGGCATATCATTCTTCATCTCGTGTAGGTATTCATTTGTGTAGGCAACTTTTGCAATCAGAAGGACGTGACCAAACGACACATTCAAATATATGTAAACATTTTTTTGTAGAAGATGAAATAAGTATGGTGGTATCAGTTCTAAACAGATGAGATAGTTTGGTGTTGCTGTGTAAAATGATTTCTGGAAGCAAATACTGTATGCTTTGGTGAGATGATATGATAGCCTAAATCAGTACTCTGTATCTGATTTTGTAATTCTTGCTCAGTATTAACTTCGGTGACGTACACTACGCTTTTTAAGTAACCCCAAAAATAAAAATGAAGAGGATTGAGGTCGAGCGATCGAGATGATCAGGCCAATGGACTACCTCGACCTGTCCATCTTCCGAGAAGCACCTTATCTAGATATCTTACTACAATTTTCACCTATGTATTACCTATTATTTGCCATGAAGAATAAATCCCCAAGTTTATGCGTATAGGTTGCGAATCACCCTGTATAGTATAATGTTTTTGACTGATATCTAGATATCAATACTTACCCTAAAATCATATTGATGTTTTAATCTCATAACAGCACATGCTGACATTTCAGCAAAACAAAAACTTATTAAATAATATCCAATCGCACATACAATTTGTTCTAGTATCATATCGAGAATATTATAAGCATAAAATTCTTTCCATGCGGTAGCGAGTAAACTAGAAATAACGTAATGCAACGAGCTAATAAACGGCGAAGAATGTTTGCTATTTGAAGATTCGTTTAAAAACGCCTTTAAAATTTTATTATATAGGTACCAACCAATGTGCGAACACTCCCAAAAACAAACAATGCTATAAACGAATCCAGCGAGATAATAAATAGTTAAAGTGTATAAAAGTAAATATTTGATGATTCTTAAGTTAGTGTAATCTAACCAAACGTTTAATTGGGCGTTATGAACCAACTTGACTAATCTATACACTTTTAAGACACGGTTTAAATGAAGAAGATCAGTAGCTCTTGATGAATCAGTGATCATCCCTGCAAATAGTTCCAGGGGGATTGTTGCAAAAATATCGATCATAATCGTAATTTGTTTGCCTTTGTAAATTATGATATCGCGTATATTTGAAATGACTCTATCTTTAGTTCTTACGGCAGTCGATGCGTCGAGATATAAAGCAAAAAAATAAAACATATCCAAAGTGTAAAATAATCCGATTTGATGCATAGTCAATTGTCTTTTAAAAATGATGAAATAAGGAAGGTAAACGCTTTGAATGAAGACGACGATTAAAATGAGATTATCGCAAAACGTTTTGAAATTATTCCTCGGATCCAAAACGCAAGGAAATTCCGATTTTAAACAAATTGCTTTCACTTTTAATTCAACTTCATCGCTAAGAACGTAAAGATTAAGAAACTTGGAGAAGTGAAATGGCACTATCGGGATTTCAGTTCCATCGTAAGTTCGTTTTCCTTGTTTTGCTAAATCCGCGATTAATCTCCATTCGGATTTAAACCATCTTATTGAAGTTTTCTTTTCTTCTTTTGATTTTAATTTGATTAATTCCTCGTGTTGTAAACTTCGAGCGATTTCCAATCTAGCATTTAATTTTTGCCATAAAAGCTTTGATATGTAAGGATACTTTACCATGCTGTAAGCTAAACTTTTTAATTCTAAAACTTGGATTTCGCAGTAAGTGGCGCATCTCAGATAACTGCTACTTTCAACACACATCAAACAACAAATTTCGCCGAGAACGGTTCCACTCGAAAATGAAATAACCGGCGAATTTTGATCGTCCATTGATAATAATTGAATCACCCCACTAACAATGTATACGATTCTGTTTTTTAATTCGCCTTTTGTGTACAAAAATTCCCCGGCGGTGTAATATTGGCATTTCATTGAGAGGCATAAATTTCGATTAAAAATCGAATCGGTGTCGTTAAAGAAATGGGAGTGCCGAAAAAAGTCCCAAAAAGTATCCAAGCTAACTTCTTTTTGTAAAGAAGCTGGAAGACGATCGTAAAATGATTTCGGCATAGTTGATCTTCCGAGTCTTTTCTCCCAAAACGTGTTGTAAAAATTTACAACCAATTTTTTAACCGATAAAGGCATCTTCCATTTATCCAAAAGATTCTTAATCACGTATAATCGATACGAAAAGTAATATTGGTCCGATATTTGTTTTATAAAAAGGGCGGTTAAGTTTGAATAAAAAATTATTTGGAGAACGCACGCAGTTAACATTGCTACAGTTACTAAAACAAATTCTTGGTATGTTACGCATGTTATTATTCCTAAAACATGAATTAAAAAAATAAACATATTTTTTTTAAACCAACACTTACCAGACCACGCATGATAAAAAATACTGCTCACAAAAGCATAACAAACCAGCCACATATTAACGGTTGATTCCCTATTGATGTAATGATGTGTTAATGAAGTTTTCCATTCTTCAAAATCGTACCAAATCCCGCTAAATACAATGCAATATAAAGAGTAAATAACAAAATGCAAAACTGTCATCAATAATAAATGATTTAAACCGGGTTCGTTGTTTGAGTTAATAAAAAACGCCAACACAGCAACTAATCTTAAAAAGACTTTTACTCTTGTAGTATCACTTGCGAATTCGTAATTCTCACCATAAGATATTTTCATTAATAAATAGTAAAGTTCGTAATAAGGAAGTAAACTGATCACATCCAAAGTTAGTAAATAAGCATTTTTTGGGGTAAACGACTTTGTTTTTCTAAACTTCATAGCTCTACAAATTTTTCTTTAAAGATTTAACTTCTTTTCATATTATTTTTTTACCTGTGTAATATAGACAACAAAGTATTAATAAAATAAATTCCTTCAAAAATGTAATAAATTGTAAAGGTTAAAGTACCGGGATCGGTTTCGTACAATAAAATATAAGCCACAAAGTTGCAATTAATTACGGTGCTTAACATAACTAAAATTTTCCACACCATGTTGAAAGGAAGGAAAATAATGCTTCTCCAGTTTCCGGTTTCTTCGAAATATTCGATTCTCTCCGATACAACGTCGGAATAATCTTTAATGGAAATGTGATACGGTTTTTGGCTGGAACTATCATGATAACCTTGTTTACGAATCATTTTTTATAACTTTGTGTTTGCGAACTTTTTGTGTCATTAATATTTGACAATTGTGCAAAAAGTAATAAGTTTGGAATGTAATAACCATAGTTACGAAACTATTATGCACTTGCACTGTCCAACATAAATGCAACATACCTTAATAGTATTGGGTAGTTTTGAAAAGGAAAGGTTTTGTTTGGAAAAGGTGACGTCCTTGTGATAACTCTGAGTTTCCGTCTTAAGAGACGCACGGCTAAACTCTACTACTTTTCGTTTAATAAAAATATACCACAATCCAACGCTGATAGCACAATTGTATATACACTATATACAACACCTAGTAAATACATACTAATTAGTTACTTATTTTTGACACCAAATTAAAGTAGATAATGTTTTGCAGCTTTTCCCAGTAGTCCAGTCTGCTGTATCCGGAAAGAAGACAACCGCACGTAAGAACCTTCAGCCGGTTAGCAGAAAATTTAATGGCTTTTTGGTCCTTTCCCAAACCACGTGCAAAAACATACCAAACTGACCTGCAAGAGGATGAAGTCAATGTGTTGGCTTCAGTTGCGATAAATCCATCAAGATCTTGCAGAAAAATTGAACAAGACGTCTGACCCAAAAGCCGTTGCTCCCGAATAGGAAAGAAAAATAAGTATAAACCATACAAAGCGAGGCTAACTCATTATTTACTTGCCGGAGATGTCAATCTAAGATTAGAGTTTTATAGATGATATTTAGAAAAATTAAATAATTTGCTGTTTGTTCAAAATGTCATCTGGACCGATGAAGTCTCTGAATGTTCAAAGAAGATTCAGGTTCAATGTATGGTGTGCCCTTTTAGATAATAGAATTTTGGCATATAGTATCTACCATAAAAACTTAAACTCAGGTAAATACCTCAATATATTAAGGTAGCACATTGAGCCTTTGGTCGACAATTTGCTATTAAATATGTCTCAAATGATATATTTTCAATATGACGGAGCACCAGCACATAATTCCAGAGTTGTTAGTGAATTAAATACTACTACTAACTTTGGCAATAATTGGAAATAATGTTTTCCATCATGGTATCATCATAACAACATTAAGTTTTAAATACATACAATAGTTTCAGAAAGAACAAGAAAAATTGATACGTTATGTTCCATCATAGTATGTATGATTATCACCATAGCAATATTAACTTTTAAATACATTCGTTTTAGATAGAACTAAATGAAGATGGGAAAAAATTCTACCTACGCGATTTAATTCTTCGTAAAAAGTTACTCTTAAAAAATCTTTGATGATAAGTGAGATATTCGCGATTGTCGTTTTTGCAAATTTTTCAGTTTTTTCCGATAGGGCATTAGCATTTTCTTGAAAAACGAGATCATGACATATACGCTACTTTTTTTCTATCTCTTTAGTTTCGGAGATAGCCTATGCGGACAACGAAATTGGGACACCCTGTACTACTGGGACATAGTTTACTTTCTTATAAGTAAAGTTTATGTATATCGATTTATTTGCATTTAGTTTTATTAGCCATCGTTTGGTCCAGTTTTCTATTGAATTAAGGCCAATTGTAACTTATTTGCTGCAACTGTTTCATTTTCTGCAACAGCCAAGATCGCTGTGTGATCTGCGAATGTAGCTGTTAAAGTTTCTGGTACCTGAGGAAGGTCGAATGTGTAGAGTAAGTACAGTGTTGGGCCAAGCACATTTCCTTGAAGATCTCCGGCTCGTCTTTCATGTAGTGGTGAATAAGCATTTTCGTATTTTACTCTAAAATATCGATCAGAAGGGTACAATTTTAATAGTTGACTATACGTTGATGGTAGTATTTGGTCTAATTTGTAATTTAAACCATCTAACCAGACTTTGTCAAAAGCTTGTGCAAGATCCAGAAATACGGCGGAGCAGACTTTATTTTCTTCCATTGCTATTTCGATAGTATCCATTATTCTATGCACTTGCTCTATTGTTGCATGTTTATTCCGAAACCCAAATTGATGTGTTGGTATTAGGGCTTTTTCTTCCATGACAGGTTAGTCTTTTTAATAGTAATTTTTCAAGCAGTTTTGATAGTAAAGGTAATAATGATATTGGCCTATATGATGTAACATCTGTGGGAGGTTTACCAGGTTTTGGTATCATTATTATTTCAGCAGTTTTCCATATGTTTGGGAAGTAGTTCTATTTAAAAGCAGCATTAATTATGTCTAATAGTTTTGTAATCGCCCGTTTTGGTAGATGTTTCAATGTTTCTCCATTAATTAGGTCATAGCCTACTGATTTCTTTACATTTAGTTTTTGTATTTCATAATACAGTTCTTCCATTCTTACACATGGTATATTACTCTGCTGATCACTTTGAATTATGCTAGGGACACTATTTAGCATGGTTGTTGGACTGTCTGATGTAAAAGCTTCTTTCAGATGTTCAAATTAACTTTTTCTTGATTGCTCTTAGCCCAATTTCCATTATTATTTCGAATTGGAGGTGTATGTGTTTTTGGAATTTTAAGCTTTCTTCTTGCCTTCCACTGAAAATAATCAGTACTGGCATCGTCAGTAAGGTCTTTTAAGTAATTTTGAATATTATTTTCTTTGTGGCTATCTGTTAATGCTCTTAATTCGGCTGTTATTTTATTTTTATTGCGGAATTCTATTGGTTTGCCATTTCTTTCTTGCTTTCCGTTTTTCTGCAATTTTGTTTCTAATGAATTTAGGATAAATATTAGATTTAGGTTTTGGTGTTAAAATAGGTGTTGAGGCCCAGGCTGCGTTTTGTAAGTCTTTTAAGAATTTGTCTACTTCATTTCAATGTCTTCGCTTGTTTTCATAAGAGCATTAAGATGAATTTTATTATCTAATGTTTGTTGAAATAGATTCCAATTAATAAGTTTATTAGTTAGTGATAAAAAGGGTTGTTTGTTACTTTGTTATTTAGAGTAATAATTACTGGTGAGTGATCTGAGTCCAGCCCTAACTCTTCTTCTATGTTTACGAAGTTAAGCGATATATTTTTCATAATAAAAAAATCAAGCAGGTCGAGAATTTTACTTCTATCTGTTGGCCAGTAAGTTGGCTTCCCAGTGGAAAGCACCTCACAATGTAGGGCCTCTATTGCATGGTTCAGTTCTCTTCCTTTTGTATTTGTCAAGCGAGAATCTCAAGACATATGTTTTATATTAAAGGCTCCTTCAAGTATAAATTTGTTTTCAAGATGTAATAGAATTTCCTGATAATGTTCTCTTTTGAGATTATGTCTCGGTGGTATGTACGTTGCTTCTACAGGTAATAAGCCATTAGCAGTTTGAACTTTTACCACTATAGTTTGGTGTTGTTCAGTACTAATTGTATTGTTCAAATAGTGGTCAACATTCCTTTTAATAATAATTGCACTTCCACCTCGATTGTAATGGTTGATGTTTATACACGATTCACGTGTAAAGTGAGTTTCGGAGATAAGACATATATCAATATTGTTTTCTTTAAGTTTATTTCTTTATTAATGGTAGCGTGTTTTGATGCTGTCGAAGACCATTGAAATTCCACAGCATTATTTTTAGTGCTTTTTAGACATTTTGATCCTTTTTGAATCGCTCCTTGGTTTAAATTGCTTTCAATGAAATCTAGACGTACATATAATGTTTTTATTGTTTCTTCTTGTTGAAGTATTTTTTCTAGTATTAGATCTAATTTACTATCAGCCTTCTTATCGATAAATGTTCTTACAGTTTTCTCTGCAGTTTCACCACTTGCTTTTTCGGCATACGAGACGCTTGGCTTTATTTTATTTGAATTTACTGTTTTCTTATTTCTGATGGCTTGTAGTTCCTTAATCACAATGCAACCTCGGTAGTTCGCTGGATGATTTTCTCCACAGTTGAAACATTTAGCCGGGATTTCTTTGGCTTCAGTGCATTCGCTGGTTCAGTGTTCACCAGCACATTCAACACATGTCGGATTTTTGTGGCAGTAAGCTTTTGTGTGGCTCCAACCTTGACACCTTTTGCACTGGGACATTTGTTTTGGTTTTCTGTACTCTTCTTGACACGCATTTCTAATATGTTTGTTATTTCATGGATTCTTTTTACAGAGGCTCTTTTGTTTTCTATTTTAACGTTTGAGTCACTTTACAAATGTTATAGTTGCGCTCCAATAGATCATCTTTGATATCATTAACATCACAGCTTTTATGCATCTTTTTAGCGACCACTTTCAGATTACTGGTTTGCTTATTTTCATAAGTCGACCAAGACAAATTCTTTTCAGTAAGCATCTTTGATGCTTCTCCGTACTTTTCTTCCGGACATAAACATTTGGATTTAGCCGCACATCTTTCAAGACGGCTAAACCCGAATGATTCTAGTCCTAGGTCGTGTGTTAGTTCTAGTGATAGTGCTAGTGTAAAACTAGAACTAACACTAGACCAAGAATTAAAAACATTCGGATTTAGCCGCACGTCTCTNGTTTCTTCTTGTTGAAGTATTTTTTCTAGTATTAGATCTAATTTACTATCAGCCTTCTTATCGATAAATGTTCTTACAGTTTTCTCTGCAGTTTCACCACTTGCTTTTTCGGCATACGAGACGCTTGGCTTTATTTTATTTGAATTTACTGTTTTCTTATTTCTGATGGCTTGTAGTTCCTTAATCACAATGCAACCTCGGTAGTTCGCTGGATGATTTTCTCCACAGTTGAAACATTTAGCCGGGATTTCTTTGGCTTCAGTGCATTCGCTGGTTCAGTGTTCACCAGCACATTCAACACATGTCGGATTTTTGTGGCAGTAAGCTTTTGTGTGGCTCCAACCTTGACACCTTTTGCACTGGGACATTTGTTTTGGTTTTCTGTACTCTTCTTGACACGCATTTCTAATATGTTTGTTATTTCATGGATTCTTTTTACAGAGGCTCTTTTGTTTTCTATTTTAACGTTTGAGTCACTTTACAAATGTTATAGTTGCGCTCCAATAGATCATCTTTGATATCATTAACATCACAGCTTTTATGCATCTTTTTAGCGACCACTTTCAGATTACTGGTTTGCTTATTTTCATAAGTCGACCAAGACAAATTCTTTTCAGTAAGCATCTTTGATGCTTCTCCGTACTTTTCTTCCGGACATAAACATTTGGATTTAGCCGCACATCTTTCAAGACGGCTAAACCCGAATGATTCTAGTCCTAGGTCGTGTGTTAGTTCTAGTGATAGTGCTAGTGTAAAACTAGAACTAACACTAGACCAAGAATTAAAAACATTCGGATTTAGCCGCACGTCTTTCAAGACGACTAAACCTGAATGATTCTAGTACTAGATCTAGTGTTATTTCTAGTTTAAGTTCAATAAAAATATGTAACATAGTGATATCTTATCTTAACTAGCGGTACCTACCACTGTCACTAGAACTAACATCACACATACAACCAGAAACATTTAGACATGTTACATTTTATATGAGACAAAGTAAGTAAGTACGCCCTGGTTTCTATGGAAATATATTTTTGTATATTACATCTTAAGTAAAATTCACTATATTTTCAATTCAAAAATTGTATATTTTACAATTTAAAAAATGGACTAATTGTTTCTATNGTTTCTTCTTGTTGAAGTATTTTTTCTAGTATTAGATCTAATTTACTATCAGCCTTCTTATCGATAAATGTTCTTACAGTTTTCTCTGCAGTTTCACCAAGACAGCTTAGATGGCGAGATTTCAGTTTTTACGGTTGTTGTTTCTTTTAGCTTGTTTTATTATACAGTCAGTCTCCAAAGCTAACTCATCTTCGTCTGTGGTATACACCACTTTAGTGGTTACTGGAGGGTTAAGATTTTGTTGGGTTTTTAGACCTTCTATTAATGCCTCTCAGGTCATCTATTTGTTTCTGAAGAGTCGCTTAATCTTTAGTGCGTTGCTCCTTTATGATTCTAGGTATTGTATTAGTTCTAGTGATAGTACTAGTGCAAAGCTAGAACTAATACAAGACCTAGAACTAGAAACATTCGGATTTAGCCGCACGTCTTTCAAGACGGCTAAACCCGAATGATTCTAGTTCTAGGTCTTGTGTTAGTACTAGTGTTAGTTCTAGTTTTAGTTCAGTAAAAATATGCAATATAGTGATATCTTATCTTAACTAGCGTTACCTACCACTGTCACTAGAACTAACATTACTCCTACAACCAGAAACATTCAGACATGTTACATTTTATATGAGACAAAGTAAGTAAGTACGCCCTGGTTTCTATGGAAATATATTTTTGTATATTACATCTTAAGTAAAATTCACTATATTTTCAATTCAAAAATTGTATATTTTACAATTTAAAAAATGGACTAATTGTTTCTATAAACTTTTTAGTACATTATCTGCTTCTCTAAATCCCGATTGGATAGCTCCATGAACTGTGCTGAAATGATCAAGCGAAGTTGCTTCACCTGCGAAAAAGATCACATCTTTTCCATATTGATCTTGTAAAGGTTCCCCTAAATGCTTATTGCTGGGTTGTTTCCTCGACTCGATCGTTTGATATGAATACGTGCCCAAAAAGTTTTCGTTAGTATACCATTTCGATCTAAAAATTTGTATGTTTAAATTATTATATTAATGTATTAAACACATTTAAGGCACCTTAATATGTTAATCGGCTTTGGGATTTCAAATTTATGCCCAAAAAATTGATTCAACGCAAATTGAATGCCATCCATTAAATCTTCTTCGCTTAAATTTTCTATGAAAGGTATGGTTTGTCCGTCAAACCAAAGATAAAGTAAATTCGGGTTATAATCAACGGATAAAATTGCGGCTAAATCGGTAATCCAAGGAACTCCTTCGTCCGTTGTAAAATTCTTTAATGATTTTCGTAAATTTTTGTCCCAAATTAAATCTAATACATCGAATTTTCCGTGATTATTAAACCAATCGTTTGAGTATTCCAAAAAAACCTTTGCAACTCCCCCAATTCCTAATGATTTAATAGCTCTTTGCTTGTGGTCTGGTAAATCCGGATGAAACATATTCATTTTTGCTTTTAAAACCCCTAAAGATGGTGTGAAAATTACTCGTTTTGCTTTGTATTCGGTTGAATCGTTGCAATAAATTTTTACAATACCCTCGCTATTATTACTATTTATTTTTATAACATTTTTATTTAATAAAATCTTTTTTTCAGGTTCAAAGTTATCCGAACCATAAGGTGTTTTATCTAATAACACGTTTAAGATCGTTTTATAACCTTTTCCTTTCCAATTATAATTATTTTCGTCGCAATCTTCGTTATCGGAACGAGCGGAAGGTTGATTCCAATCAAAAGCACTTAAACCAGCTATATAGTTGTGCATGAGATTCTCTAACATATCTTCTAATAAATTCGGAAATTCTTCCGGTACCTTTAAATCGGAAGTTAAGTTTTTAAATTTTTCCGTTGCAAATTCAGCCACTGTTAGTTCTTCTTGAATATCTTGACATTTTAATATTTCCATAGAGATTTCTTGGAATTTAACAATTAAATCGTTGGGTATTTCTTTCCGGTTCGAATAGCAGTAATTTATGAGCGAAAAATTACTTTTTGTTATCAATCCAAAATCGTTAGCTAATTTGTATCCTATATGTTTGCTTCCATGAACCCATTGTGCGCCTAAATCGACGACATTTTCGCCGAATTCCACAGTGTTGATTCGCCCACCAATTCTATTTTCAGCTTCAAGAATTATAACATCCGTTTTATTTTTGGCTAATACAGAAAATGCTGCTATTCCGGAAGGCCCGGCTCCTATTATAATTACTTCATGAGTTGAATTAGATAAAGAGCAAAAACTTGATGAGAACAAAAATTGAAAAAAAATAAATAAAATAAAGCTTAATGGTGAGGACATTTTTTGGATATAACTATGTTTTTGAGAGCAATTTCGATTTATATAAGAGAATTTTAAAAAATCTATAAATGAGATTATTTATCAAAGGAACTTGGACTTAGATTAATTTGTTAGAACGTTAGAAATTTGTTTATAAACAATTTATCTTTTAAAATAAAGAATTATTCGGATTAAATTCAATAAAATATTATCGCTTTTGGTTATATTTAGATTTCAAAAATAATTTTAACAATTTTTATTAATTAATTTAAAAAATTCATATAAAATTAATTTTTAACATCTCCTATTTCCGCTTATTTCTTTCTTAGCGATACACCAAGCATTGATCTTTCTATTTTACGCTGTGTTGTTCTAAGCCTGTTGGCAGATGTTATGGTCAAAGTAGTTAGGTCATGACCAGCAGCACGCACTAATTTGCTCTTAAACACATCTTTGAGTTTACCATATACTGCCCATGAGAGGATTATTCTCCTCCTTAGTTCGTCTGGTTGTTTCTTATGATTTTAATTTCATGGCCAAGACAGGTGCTAGATCCACTAGTTCAATTTCCTTTCCTTCCATCACAATGTTTTCACTGGGAACCAGGTTGGTCATAAATTTAATATATATAAGATATAAGATAACCAACCGATGGATGGTATGGAAATGCACATACTTCCTTCAGCTCACGCAGCATCAATTTAATGTCAGCGAGATTATCAGCTTAATGTCATCCGCAAAACATAAGTTTGTTAGCCTTCGACCGTCAATGTTTATGCCTTTATTCTCCCAATCATGTAGTCTTGAATGCATATTCCAGAGTTGTGATAAACAGCTTAGGAGACATCGTATTACCCTGCCTTCTGTAGATGATGTAAATTAGATTTGAGTATCGATTATCAACGCGGCATTTTCTTAATGCTTCCAAGAATACGCCCATCTCAACGGTATCAAAGGCCTTCTGGTAGTCAACAAAAGCCAGCACCAATGGCCTGTTGTATTCGATCGATTTTTTGATCAACACTCTGATAGCCTGCCTCGTTGGTTCCAAATCTGCCTGAAAAAAGCCCGCCTGTTCCAGTGGCTGGTAGTTTATTTTCAAGTCTGGTGATCAATATTATCAAAAACAGTGTATAGAAGGGATTCAGAAGGCTTATTAGTCTATAGTTATTCAAGTCGGCTGTGTCTCCTTTTTTGTGAAGCAGTATTGCCATAACGTTGTGCCATTTACTCGGTATTGTGCTGTTAAATAGGCAGAGGTAAATAGGACCCTTATTTTCTGGAGCAAGCAGGGACCACCGATCTTTACTGTGTCCGTAGCCACAGAATCTTCTCCCGACCCTCTATTATTTCTAGTATTTCTTAGAGCAAAGTCAATCTCCTCCAGCGAAATATTTGGCATTTCTTCAGATCCTTGGTTTGTAAAACTTACTTGTACAGCAGCTGGTAAAAATACCTCAGTATTTCTTCCCTATTCGTTATTACTATTCCTTGTTTTGTTTCTAATTATGGTTATCTCTCTTCTTCCACTACCCAGTCTTCTGTGCAAGACCTTTAAGCTTTTATAAATGAACGCGCGTTGTAAGATTATTTTTGGTTGAGGAAAAATAAATCTTTAAATTTCTATTAAAACTTCGAATTTAGCCATTTTTAACGAGAGAGAAAATAACTTTATTCAGCTATCGACCGAATTATAAAATAACAGTATATTTATGTTTGTGAATTTATGTTGAGTTCTTCGTATAATGTTTTAGGTCTTCCTTCGTTCGTTCGAGTCTTGCTCGTCTTGATGTAGGGTGTCTTGGTCTTCATTTTTTTCTTTCAGTATTTTATGCCTCACTGAGATTAGTTTTATTTCCGTTCTTGAATATATATTTGATTCTCATTGTTTATGTTGTGGAGTGGATTGTTCGGGTGTCTAATTTTTGTCAGAAGTCGTAAACATTTTCTTTCTGCATTCCTGATTACTTCCTTTGTTGACTCCGGGGAACATAATATAGTTGTGAGATGTCCATAATCGAGGATTGGGCGGCATATACTTTTATTGTCTTTGTAGGTCAATGATCTAAAATGTTTTGCTCGTCTTGTTATCTCTGTTTGTATTTTTTTGTAGTGTGTTTTGAATTTCAAGTTGCTGTCCAGAGTTATGCCCAGATATTTGACCAGGTTTGTAGGTTTAGTAATTGATGTGCCTGTCGTGATGTGCTGGGGTTGATTTGGTGATTCTGGAGTGTGGGATTTGTCCGGATTGGGGGTGACTCTCCATTTGTGGAACCATGATGATAAGCATCTGGAGTGATTCTATTGCTATTTGAAGGTTTTTTCCATGTGATATTAGTGTTGTGTCCGTGTGATAATATAGTTGGTGTCTGGATGGGTTGGAGGGTATATATCATAGCAGAAGAGATTGGGGATGTTTGAGGTACTCCTTGGAGAGGGGAGAAAGTGAAGGATGTGGCATTATTAATTTTGATGCTCAGTTTCCTGCCGCGAAGATATTCATCTATAATTTTTAGGTAAGGTGTAAGTATTCCTAATTTATCCATCTTGTATAGAAGGCCCTGGTGCCAGACTGTGTCGAAGGCTTTATTTATGTCAAGAAATAAGATCGCTGTTTTTCGGTGATGTGGTTCGTTCCTTTATGTTATTTGTGAGAATAATAAGTGGATGAATTATTGATTCTTTCTGTTTGAAGTCGAATTGGTATATAGGGATTTTGTTTTTGATAAGGTGAAGAATTCTGGAATTAAGGATACTTTCGTAGATTTTTTCAATTACAGTAGGGTGATAGGGCGGTAGCTTTGTGAAAGAGAATGGTTTGCTCCTGGATTTTTATAATTGTAGGTTTTTTCCATGACGATGGGAATATAAGGTTTTGCATGCAGAAATTCAAAATTTTACGGATTAAGTTATGTACTTCTAGGTTTAGTTGTCTCAGCAGTTTTTTGTTACATTAAATTCAATCCGGGGCATGAACTTTTGCCTTTTGATAGGTGTTCATCATATTCTTCTTGAGTTATTTTTAGTATTCCATTATGCGCGTGGGTTAGCATAGTTAGAAATATTGTGTACCATTCGTTAATATATTCTTGGTGATGATTGTCGTAATCGTGGTTTGGTTTAGGGGTGAACGTACTTGGAAAGTGTTGGGCAATATATCGTATTCACATTTCTGTTGATCTGTTCTATGTTCTATATTGTTGTACGTTATTGTCGTAATGTCACTGATTTTCTTGTAGTTTGTCACCGTTTTGATTTTCTGCCAATATGTTTTGCCGCGATCCGTTTCTCTTTCTTTGCATGTTTCTAACCAACGATCCAGTTGGTATTTTTGGAGTAATTTTTGAATTTTTTTGTTTTCTCTGTTTAGTTCATTTTTTAGTATTCTGTTGTTTGTTCGTTCATATTCTCTGTATATTCGTCTCTTGTTGTGAATTATATCCAGTATGTAGTTGGGGAGTGTATATATATATGGAGAGTATCTTGTTTTCGGTGAGTGGCGTATTATTGATTGTGTAAGGGAGTTGTAAAAATCTTGTATGAAGCTCTCGTTCATTTGTGTTGTTCTGGATTTGTTTATAAAAGTTGTTATGTCTTCATTTACTTTTTGTATATTGATATATTGTTCTGGTTAGGTTATATTTTGACCTTTCAGTCTGGGTTGGTGGGGTTTAATTTGTGCAGATTTTGAACGTTATCGCCAAGTGGTCGGAGCATAGATCACCAGTAAGACTTGTAATATTTTCAGTGTGGATATCCGGGGTTGTGTCGTTGTTTGCCGGCATCAAGAATGTAGGGTCTGTATGTCTTTTTTTGAAAGAGGAGTTGTCTAAGAACGATTGCAATTGTTGGATGGGTTAATGTTAAAATCGCCTATTATTATGACGTATTTGTATTGTCCTGCTTTAGAAAAAATGTTCTTTTCAAGAGACTGGTGTGGGTGGATGTACACAAGAAAAATGTGGATTTGTTCTGTATCGAAAGGGATGGTGAAGTGGAGACATTCATTGAGGGGTCTGTTAATCGATGGTGAGTCTGCTTTACCTAGAGGTATTGCTGGCTTTAGCAATATGAGGGATCCGCCTCTTGTCTTATTGGTTATGTAACCTTGTTTTTGAATTGTTTGCCAGTCTCTGTATTTAATATGTTGTTCTGCCATTAATTTAGTTTCTAAAAATAGCATCTATGTAGTATCTATGTCATTTTTTGTATATACTTGTAAATTAGGAGTTTCTTATTGTTAAAGCTGTTAATATTTGCATATATGACTTTTATAAATTCTTTGGAAGCTGAGTGGTTGTTGATACTATATGTGTTGGGTGTTTGAATTATGGTTACTTTTTATAATAAGAGGTTGGTAACACGAGAGGGTGGTATGAGCATGCAATGGAAGAACAAGGCCACGCGTAACAGATCAGAGTAAAATAAGTAATTAGTATAATAATAATTGTTAGTAAGAAGCAGAGTTGGGTAGTATCTGGATACTTATGTATCCAGATACAGTATCCGGATACTTTTTGAGTATCCGATACTCTGTATCCGGATACTTTTCAAATTTTGTATCCGATATCCGGTATCCGTGACTAAATCTGAATGTATCCGGTATCCGGATACTTTTTAATTGAGTTTTTTTATTTAATATTCTATTATTACACACATACATATACACCAGCGTGTTTGAAGCCCCATATTTTTTCAGTTTCTCCTACTATTGTACATCTTTTGTGACTACATCAATAATTGTGGCTTTACATGTTGGAAGTTAGTTGTTCTTCTCTTTTATTATTGTGGGAAAATCGAGGGCTCTCTCTCCGACTAAAATTTGAATGCTAAATTCGAAATTCTTTCTAAATTCATTTTCTAAATTTAGAAAAAATTCAAAGAACTCATTCCCTAGCAAGTGTACACTAAATTTCCGCAGCGAGTGACCACTCGGAAAAAATATAGGAGAAAAGATTAGGAGTCACTATAAGTAAAATATGGATGACAATATATTAGTTTAACAATAATTTAGGTTATTTTAAAAATATCCGAGCATGTATCCGAAAACTGCAGGATACATGTATCCGGATACTTGTATTCGGATACTTTTATGGAGAAAGTATCCGTACTTTTTTAAAAAAGTATCCGGATACGTTGTAAGTATCCAGTATCCGGTACTCGAATACTTTTTTCCTGTATCCGTCCCAGCTCTGGTAAGAAGTAAGAACGTTATTAGATGTATGAATATAATAATAGTGAAGAATATAAATATAATAAGTAACGGTGTTGAACTTTAATTAAATTAACGAAGTATTAAACAAATGTACCCAGGTTCTTTGGTTCTGTCTCTTCTATTTCCATCATATTTTGAATATCGCGGATTGATTCGGCTGTGAGGACGGCATTTGAATTTTTTTTTTTAACGATTTACTTGAAAAATTCGTATAAGGTCAATACAAGTATCTACTTTTCAATAAATTAACCCGTGTTGCAAAAAAATTGTTTGGTTGAGGAGAAATTTAACATTTTTGAAAATTAAAACGAATTTTTTTCTTTATAAAATACTAATTTATTTCATTATGATTTTCATAAAATTACAACTGGTAAAAACGCATTACTCACAGAAAAAATAAAAATAAAAATAAAATAAATAGATCGCCGATGATTTATATACACGCAGCAGGAAATGAAGATGATAAATAAATTATATGATGATATGCGGGGTTGGTTTATTTACTCTTTAAAATTATATCATTTTTTTTTTTACTATCAAGTTGTCAAGTTTCCACTGCCACAAACATTTAAAAATAGAAAATTAAAGAAAATCCAACAAGTTATCACAGAGGTAAACCCATTTTTTATATTTCATCGTAAGTTCGAGATTTTCGAGTATTATTAGTTCGTGGCAGTAAAAACTCGAGGATACGCGAGCGGAAGTAAAAGGAAAAGAAGAAGAAACCCAACACCAGTCTTCCACCATTCCCGAGCAATTAGAAACTAATTAATTATGATTTCTCGCGATTAGTAACGCTAATATTGCAATTCTTGGACGTCTCTGTTGAGGTTGGTTTCGAGTTTTAAATTAACCAATCTCACAGAAAGGTTTCATTTTTCTTTTTTTTTTGTACAAGATCGAGAATCTTCTCGGTTAATATAATTCGCTCACTTTACGGCAAGTGTTTGGATGGATTTAACCACTTTTTCATGTAATAACAGAAAATGGTACTTATGTATAAGATAACAAGAAGCGCGCATGTTACGCCAAGTGCTAAAACGGACGTTTTCGTTGGACACACTTCGGTTATCGTGATTTTATCTTCGTGGTAATCGGTTGCTTTGTATACCAATTTATCAAAATCTTGTTTGTCATCGCCTAAATCCAACACTAAAATCTCTTGGCTCAACGTCATATCTTCTTCTTTATCGGTTTCGGTTTCGTTTGAGATGGATCTCTTCTTCCTGCCCCAGGATTCTAATGATTCCCTTCCCCATTCGCAAACTGCTGGATCGCACGGACCCAGACAATATTTAACGTTGCATTGGAAGATTACACCGTATGATTCTGTAAATCTAAATGCTTCGTAAATTGATTGTAAGACGTTTCCGTCTGTTGTGAATGCTGGGAAAATTGATGGATCGAGCGGACAACCATCCTCATCAATTATTTGGAAGGTACTCTTTGAATCTTTTGCCATAGCCACACAACTTCTTGCAAAAATTCCATAAGGAGCTTTAAAAAAAATTTAAATTATCATCGAATTCATTTAAAAAAAAATTTTACTTACTATCTTCGGGAATTTCGATTCTAAACGTGAGTTTATCACCAATCCTTACAGTTTCAACTTCTCGCATATGACTATCCAAAATTCTAATCCTTGGTGGTGGTGCTTCGGGAGCTGAGGTGATGCTAATCATCTCTGGATCTCTAATCGGCATCATTCCGAATGTTATGTTCTTTGAAGACATGTCATAAGTACATTTTACTTTATAGATTTTATCTGCCTTAGTCATAACAACGCTGTGATGTTGGAGAACTACGGTGTTGCTATAAATTCCGGTCTAAAAACAATAATAAAAAGTTAATAAATATTAATTTAAATATAAGATAAGGTTACGTACCACAGATTGAGTGTTACAATCTTGCCCACTCATCGTTAAATCTAATCTGAAAAGATCACTATCGATTACATCCATATTACAAGTTTCCGATCTTCCTAAGGCGTAAATTCTGCCGTTAAATGGTTTATTAGTTCTTACTTGCACAGCGATTTTGGTGTCTTTACAATTCACGGATACTAAAACGAAATTTAATTAATTTAATACACCTAAAATAAAAACTTTTTAATTACCATCATAACAAGTCCCAGTTTTATCACAATTTATATCACTCCGCGTTAGATTATTTATGGTGGGATCTTCAGTTGCCTCAAAAACCACTGGGAGTGTATTTTCGGATGATGGTCCAACACCAACTTGTTCTAAAAAAACATTTTTACCACAAAATTTATTAAAAATAATTAACTTACTCTCGCAAGTATTTTCGAAATAAGTTCCAATCCTCTCTCCATTATCAATCAAAGGTCTTTCGGCGTTCAAATAAGTGCTGGGACCGTCCGGTAACATCTTATGATCCAAATGGTACAATTGACAATTGTATTGGGATCCTTGAGGAGGTCCTTTGAATAAAAATGACCTGCACAAAAACTCATTTTCAATTTCGCAGGCTAATTTACAAGCCGCTTCGCTTGAAACTTGTAATTCTTTGTCGGTGTAGTAGTTGAGGTCGGCGTAAAGGGCTACTTTGTCGTCTGGTACTCCGATTTTTGGTACGCCAAATGATCTGTTCGTTTTACAAGCTAAGTTTCCTTTTAAACATAAATTTTCGAAGTAATCCACTCCGGATTGGTCGATGAATTGGACGTATTGACCAGTTGTTCTTCTATCTGAATCGCTGAGTTGGCACTGAAGTGTAATGTAGTTGTACTCGACAGATCTGCAAGTGAATCTATGCTGAAAATGGTAAGAAGAAGTAAAATTAAGCCATCAGTCAGTCATCTGTCGTGAAGATGGGTGTGCGGATAGAGACGCGCAGATGGTTTAAGGATTTCGTTCTTTAAGGTACGGACAATGGTTGGCGACCATTAGCTCGGTAACTGTAACGGAATCCTCCTGGAGGCAGGAAAATAGCTGTGCAGATGTTGGATAACTGTTTTACCGTCCAGTACGTGTTATCTGTATATTATAATTTACAGCGAATACCTCGTTATGTGTTTATGTGTTATTTGGTAAAATGATTTATAAAAGTGTTACCTCATTTAAACATGCTGTTAAGCACGCTTCCTTCGTCGACGTGTAGATTAAAGCGTTATCTAATCCCCTAATCATCTTATTCGGAACCCTTTCAAACGTCCAAGGTCTCGAACAAATATTATCCGTTCTTAATTGGATCTTCGTCATATAATACATGTTAACCGATCGTTGTGGAACAGCACTCGGATTATTAGCTGACGTTTCATTTTGTAGTTGACATAACGTTTCTTGATGAGCTACTAATGGATTTACTACAAAACTGAAAGCTGCTGCTTGACATTCTTGTTCTTCCCTACACCATCCTTGGCATTCATACAAAGATAAATTCTTTGCAGTGTAATAATTTGTGCCTTTATAATCGAAATCGGTTAGTTTCTCAAATCCAGTACGAGCTAAAATAAAAGCAAAACATTACTAAAGAGAAAAACTCAAGAAATTGAAACTATCATTATCATAATCACGTCATTTCACATAATTGGTATCGAACGTCCGTTCGTGATGTAGAAGAGTTCACGCCCTCCGCGTATAAAAAAGCATAAAAGAAGTAAAAGAAACTGAGAAGAAGAACCGGACAAAAAACGCGATGGTTAAAAATAACCACACGCCAGAGGCAAGGCCACCTGCAGATCGTGGTATCATCCGTCTTAAATAAAGACACAACACCGAGGAGCTTACCTGAGGTCAGTGATATGATGGCGGCTTGGACCAGGAGGATAAAAGTCGTCCGGGATGGTATCGGCTTCATCTATAACGAAAAACAAAGTGATAAAATTCCTTTGCAGCATGTTTCCAATTAATTAAATGAGGGTTAATTAATGAACTTGATGGGCACTGTTTAACGAACAAACTAATTGATCGCTCTTTAGAGAGATTCTGTTTTCTTTTACATTGGAATTTCAAACATTTCTTTATCTAATATTGTAATTTTAAATTTATGAAAATATTAAGTGATAAAGATACGACACTAGCAATAAAATTTATTCAATTTCCAGCTCATTTTATTATCGCAATTCATAATAACTCGTAAATAGTTATAGATTCCTATTAACAACCAATTTTAATGACGGCGAACGAATTCAAAGATATTAAAGGTACTGTTACGAGTTCTGTTATAGCGTTCTTCTGAAACCGTTCTTTTCACATTCGGTCACGCAGAGAAAGCAGCCAAGGTTCTTATGTATCATATAGAATATAGAGGATCGACCTGAAAGTCTGCATAATATGGAAATAAACATTATATTAAGAATTTTGGTGATAATCTGATTCTTGTAACCTCTGCGATAAGGTATTTATAGAAAATTCGATGCATTTTTTGCAAAAGTGCTCTTTGATAAAAATTTTCAAATGAACCGTTCGTAAAAACGGCGTTAACCTAGTTCTTTATCTTGTAACTTCTATGCTAACGTATCTACAGAAAATTTGATGATGATTTTGAATTTGTTGAAGTATTTTTCACAAAAAGATACTCTGATAAAAGATCTAAAACCAATCGTTCTTGAGATATCAAAGAGTTTCTGCAGAACGAAGAGATAGATCCTAGAAATGAGGAAATCTTGACTCATTACCATGTAACTTCTGTACCGGTGTACTTATCCGAAATTTGATGGTACTTCTAAATTCCTTCAAGCTATATTTGCAAAAACGTACTGTTTGATATAAATTCTGAAATGAACCGTTCAGGAGATGAGCAACATTTTCTGCTACAAAAACGAAAGAATCGCAAAAATTGCGTTTATCTACTTCTTCACCTTGTTACTTCCGCGCTAACGTATTTACAGAAAATTTAATGATGGATTTGAATTTGTTGATGTATTTTTCACAAAAAGATACTCTTTGATAAAAGCTCTAAAACCAATCGTTCTTGAGATATCTAAGAGTTTCTGCATAACAAAGAGATAAACCCTAGAAATGAGGAAATCTTGACTCATTACCATGTAACTTGTGTACCAGCTTACTTATTCGAAATTTGATGATACTTCTAAATTCCTTCAAGCTTTCTATGCAAAAACGTACTTTTTGATATAAATTCTAAAATGAACCGTTCAGGAGATAAGAAACATTTTCTTCTGCAAAAACGAAAAAATCGTAAAAATGGCGTTAACTCAATTCTTTATCTTGTAACTTCCGCGCTAATGTATTTACAGAAAATTTGATGATGATTTTGAATTTGTTGAAGTATTTTTCACAAAAAGATACTGTTTGATAATAGCTCTAAAACTAATCGTCTTTGAGATATCAAAGATTTTCTGTACAACAAAGAGATAAATCCTAGAAATGAGGAAATTTTGACTCATCACCATGTAACTTCAGTACCAGTGTACTTATTCGAAATTTGATGATACTTCTAGATTCCTTCAAGCTTTTTTTGCAAAAACGTACTTTTTGATACAAATTCTAAAATGAACCGTTCAGGAGATAAGTAACATTTTCTGCTAGAAAAACGAAAACATCGTAAAAATGGCGTTAACCTAGTTCTTTTCCTTGTAACTTCCGCACTAACGTATTTACAGAAAATTTGATGATGATTTTGAATTTGTTGAAGTATTTTTCACAAAAACATACTCTTGGATAAAAGTTCTAAAACCTAGTAAATCCTAGAAATGAGGAAATGTTGACTCATTACCATGTAACTTCTGTACCAGCGTACTTATTCGAAATTTGATGATACTTCTAAATTCCTTCAAGCTTTCTTTGCAAAAACAAGCTCTTTGATAAGTTCTAGAATGTACCGAATCGCAAAAATTGCAACAACCTGATTCTCCACGTTGTAACTTCTGCACTAGTGTATTTATAGAAAGTTTGATGTCAGTTTAAAACTCGTTGAAGTATTTTAAGGAAAAAAGTATTCTTTAGTAAAAGTTCCATCTCCAACCACACTCGAGATATAAACGAGTTGATTAAAAATAGATTTAATTGTTAATCGTACTAAGTCTTTAAGTAATAAGAGGTTTGGGTCGGGTTAATAACCTAAGTGTATTATAAATAATTCACATCACCTGGTTGGTTAATATCCCCCAGCTTAGTTTCATGTTAATTTGGTACCGATCAATGATAGGCATTAGATGCAAATGTGGTGAGTAAAGCCCTTAATTAAACGAAAATTACCGTTGATTAACTTACTTATAGACGGGAAACCACTTTGATGATGTGTTCGTGCAAGAAATTCATAAAGAAATACATCAAACCCGAGTCTCATTAAAAAATTAAAAATGTGTTTATAAAATCAAAAATAAAGAAAAATAAGTTTTCTTTGTTGATAGAAGCAAGGTTGCGAGTAAATTTACATGTAAGCCAACCAGTATCGTGAACATCATTCTACTCAATCGCAATAGATTGTATCTTAATGGACGCATAAGGTCTAAGTTGATCGAAGCACCATATACCTGATGCCACGGTACCGTGCAGTTAAGGTCCACGGTTTGTTGGAATTCTTTGTCGGTACACAGGAAAGAGGTAATTCTACTGTGGTGCATCTGTGCGTAATTGAAGTTGAGCACGCAATCTACAACTCCTTTCTGTGAAACTTCTCCATGACCATCGTTCATCGTTTACGTAAAAATTACGATAACCACTAAAACGTACGAAGAATACTTTCAAGTCAAGTCAACGAACTCAATTTGGCGAATAAATTTTTTAACCCGCAGGAAACGGATGTGGAGTCGAGTTTATTAAGACACTTCACAAGAGGAAGCCCATGAGATGCTTTTTCCTTTCAAGGAGGTATATGACGGCGAAGAAAGGTCAAGAAGAAAAGAAGTCGCGCTCACGCACTTGAACGCGCTCAGAACAGGTAGAACGGTATCTCCATATTTAAGGCTATTTTAGGTCAGCCGTCAGCTGCAGGAGCTACCGAGTTTACCGTTGGATGTCTTCGACGACGGCAGCAACGACTCAACGAATTATATCTCCGTGAATTGAAGGGAGAGTGCCAATTTGAACGATCAACAGGAAGATTAGAAATATCTTTGGAACATAGTTCTCCTTTCTAAAAGGAAACAAAATAAGATGGAGTAAATGAGATATAATTGAATGGAGATGAGGGTCACTCACTTTTGCAAGAGGATGTCGCTCGTGGGTTTCGCATTATTAATCGAATGGGCTTCTGTAATTTCCTCGTAAAGAGGAAAAACTAGATCCGCACGAAAGTGAATCGATCAGTCATGGGAACGTGTTGCGCGAAGGAGAAAATTGACGTTGTGACTCGTTTGCTAAAATTGCTTTCTTCCCTTTTTCCGTCATCCCATCATTATCATTCTTCGCCTTCTTCCTCACTTCTTCTTTCATTATTGATGGGAATAATTTTCATTAAAATTTAACAATAATTAACGTTCGATAAAAATGAAATAATAAAGTTAACATCTTTGTTATAAATTTTACTGTTACGACATCAATTTACAATTAATTTATATAACAGGTAGTCGATCAACTTCCAATCTTGTATTTTATAATCTATAAAACAGGTCGAGAATTCATCGCCTGAAGAAATGGAACGGCGGGCGATCAACGGTACCACTCAGTTACCCACATCTCGTCCGAAACGTTCCACGACGGGGCCACCATCTGGATAAATCTTCATTTAACACGCTCACTCCCCGAGTTGTTATTGACAGTCGCTTTTAACAGTCTTTAAGGAAACAGTTAGACGCCTGCTGTCGTTTACGTAGACGACGTCTCTTTGAATAGCTCGAACTCGAAGACCATCAACCATTCCGCGCCTGTGGAAGCCAAAGGTCTTGACCCACTGTCGAGAATCTGTGGGATCGGGGTCTGTTGCGGTTCTGTCTTGACAAACCATGTGGGATTGCCGAACTGCAGTCGAACCGTTACGCGCACAATCTTAAGGTCAGTGCACCAAACAAAATCACCTGTGGGCCGAATCCTTAAGAGACGTCGGTGACGATTACAACTGCCGTGGGCACGTAAGCAGGTCAACACGGTCAATAAGTACTTTGTGCCATGCATGTAGGTCAAGAGGAACACCTTCATGACTAAATACGATGTTTTGGGTGTGCAGATTAACACCAAGGATTTAAATTTTTAAAATTACTTCCCACTATGGATACATTTTATAACGTTACACGCAGTAATAATACCTGGTATTAGCGGAAGAAAACCATTAAGATCATTTACAATTTGCGCAACCCAACCCAACTATTAAAACATTGGTAATCTTTTTGCAGTAACTAACCAATTCGTGTAATAAGCGAATCAAAATTGGTTCCATAATCACTGTATATATATATTTACACTCATCTGGTAAATTTTCTACAGGAAACGAAATAGCATTCCAAAGATATTGAAGAAACTTAAACTTAATTAACTAAATTAAGCTCTTATTGGACAAAATTTCAACGCTTTTATGATCAACAAATTGCTGAGTCTCGGCTTTTATTAGAGTGGCAATTTCGCCCAATTAAGCCGAGGCACTACAATTAATATCACTTCAATCTGAAATTGATTAACACTTTGTTGCGCCTCGGCTAATATAGGATTATTGCTGGATAATTAATTTACAAATAATATCATATCAACCCAAAACTGATAAACTTATTAGCCTAACTTCATTTCTCCGCAAAGGTATGGAAAAGATAATTGATAAATACCTTAGGAATGAAGTGCTTAATAATTAAATTAAAATTAGCTCACCTAGTTCTTTATGTTGTAACTTCCGCGCTAACGTAATTACGGAAAATTTGATGATTATTTTAAATTTGTCGAAGTATTTTCCACAAAAACATAAAAGTTCTAAAACCAATCGTTCTTGAAATA